ACTCCTGTGACGGAATAGGTTACGTTGCCAGGAGAGGAGGAACCAGATCACAGGGCAGAACAATTAGCATAGTATGAGACGTGAGCATCTGGCTTTATGGAAGACTGAGGCCCAAAGGAAATTATCATATTTTTGTTATCATGAATTGAATATAAATTATTCCCCCTATAAAATTCGTTCTTCTATAAACACTGTTTAAACAGGTTTTGCCTACAGTACAGCATAGGCTGTACTCCTAATTCATATTTATACACATGAAAAACAATAATTATTTTGCAGTTATTTCTGCCTTATTTGCCTTACCTTTCATATAGGCCTAATACTCCCCTCCGCTATTTTTGCTGCTAATACAAGGAACAGACAATACTATAAAACCTCTATCATCAGTGATGACTCACCAATCCAGCTCAAAATTTGAAAATCTAAGTACCAGATACAGGCAGCAACTTGGTAATAAACCATACACAACTAAATTATACTTATGCAAAATTATTTGAATAAATGCAAATCAGTATTGCAAATAACTTGCACATTACAATCAATCTTGGTTTGTTTATAGGCACTCATTCTAGAAAAGGATGCATGAACTGATGAAGTCATTTCTGCTAAGTGTTAACTGTTTGTTTTTAGCTGATAATTTTTAACTACTAAAAAGCAACCTTTATTTCTGTACTCAGGTATTACTCCGCCCTCAGACAAGAGTGCTGCAAAATCACTTTGAAATGTTCTAAAAATCACATTCTAAGAGTCCATATATACTGTCTGTAAGGGAAGTTTGAATAAAATGTGTTCTCTGCACAGGAAAACAGATTTTAACCCAGTGTCTTTTTCTTCTCTCTCCTAATCCTCAGGAATAAGAGTCATTCAGGCCACATTATCTCTCCCCATGCAACCTCATTGCGCTCAATGGGTTTCCACTGCTGTAACTAACTTGTTCTATAATTAGAATTTAATAAATAATCTCTCTGATGATGTACAGGAAGGAAAATAATTCACCTTTCCTCTCTTTTATAGGCTTCTCAGCGATAATGAGTAAAATAGGAAGAAAATGCTACATTTGACATTGGACCAAGTAAATGTTTTTGTGAACACAGATAATTTTTCTTAGGTTAAAGAAGATCTCATTTGTATGCAGTAGCTTCAAAGTAGGAAAAAATATTTTCAGTAAAACTATAGTATTAACTTCCACTGCTTTCATTAACTCAAAGAATACTTTTAGCAGCCAAAACGTTTACATTATTTCAAAATAATTTTTAGAAACACACCAAAACGTACCAATACCTGCATGCTTGAGTGATTTTGTGTGGCTGACTATAGGGTGCCATTCTGCTACTCTACTACTTCCCAGCAGAATATCCAGACTACTCACATGTGTTGCATGGCACAGTAAGTGCTAAGGACTGCAAGAATTTCAGGTAATGAGTTGAAAACTTCCACAGCCCTCTCAAGAAAGCACTATTTGCTAAAAATGAATGCTAGAGTTTAAAACTGAAATTCACTGTCAGCCAGTATGAGATAATAACACAACGTAATGCACATAACAGTGATTACTCCCAACTTTTTTGGTGCATTTAAAGCTAAATGACAAATTGTTTTGAACCAAGTCAGCAAATATTCTGCAAGGCAGCATTTTGGGTCTTGCCCAGTTTGAATGTTTCATAATGTTAATTGGCACTTAACAAAACAAGCAATAGTAATTTGCAAGAAAAGTAAAAGCTTAGAAGTCTAAAATAACCATAGCTTTCTTTTAACTACTATTTCAACCGCTATAGCTACTGGCTGAGAACTCTGCTACCTGATAACCCTGTGAACTCTGAGCCTATACTGGTTAACATTAAATTTAAAGGCCGAGTTATAGCTTCTAAACCATGGATGTATTATCAGAACTTTCATGGACTTCTATGGGCCAGGGATATTGTCCACTTATCTCTCACAAAAACACAATTTGATAATGATTTTAGGAGGACAATGATCAAAGTTTACCACTAAAACTTTGGATTATTTGTGATCTCAAGACCAGCAGCATCATTGGGAATATTTTCCTGATTGCAGCAGGCTATGTGTACTCCGCAGTAAAGCACTGACAGGGATAGTAAAACCTATCCAGCACACAGAAAACATACACGCTCATCCAAACAAGCATGCCATGTGGGTGCAAAACACTTTGCCTTCAAAGGAAATTTCAGTGTCAGATTGTAGAGTTTCTTGAACAAAGCTTTTACCATAAAATGCTAATAATATTGTTTACCAAAAAAAAAAAATCCCCTTTTGACACAAAAAAATTAAGGTGGCACTAATCTTCCTGAATACAGCTTTTGATTTATAAGAACAATTTGTTTAATGAAGCTCCTAGAGGGGGAAAAAAAGTAGATATTTTGAAGAGTGATCTCCTGATGATAATGAAGATAATAGAGTCCATTCTCTGTGCTGCTACAATTAGTGTTTATCTCCAAAAATATCATCATGAGTCTCTACACTTACAGCATTTGTTTCCATATCATCTACTTCCAGGGTTTCTGTAAATTTTGAGAAGTCTTGATGTCTTTTAAATAGAGGAGAAACAAAGGACGGCATATTTTAGAATACCTGAAATACATGATGAAGTAATTTCTTGACATGTTTTCTGTTATATTTTACAATCTAAATACTTTTCACATTAAATGGCTTATAGATAGGGCTGTTTTGGAACGGTAATCATTAGTAAATACACCAGGTTATGCAAAAGAGCAAAGAAAAATCCCTGGAAATATATCAGCAATAATCTTGTCCTTCACTTATTTTTTATTTCACTCTAGACAATCTCTACTCCTCCATTTTAATTCAAATACTTTGATTTGTCTTCTGCTGTCATTATAGGAGACAGATATGAAGACTATAGCTACTAATATTACTAGAATTTTATTCTTGGTGATATATATATATAAAAGTATATTGACTGTATTTTTAATCCTAGAACCACTATTTTGTAGCTTATCTGAATTCAGGGATCATCATTATCTGATGCCTGCTGACATGTCTGACAATATTCCTCTTGACTTAAATATGGGAGTGAAAAAAACCAATAGCTTTATTCTGGGAAAGCTTTGTTTCTGAAGCTTTCTTTGTGCAAAACCCCCAGTTGCGAGAGGGTTAACGCTCTATGCAATGGGTTACCATATCTAGACTTTTCTCCATCTGTGTGGGCTGGATGATACTGATCACATATAGTAAGTCCAATGCTCCCCAAGAGGGTTAGGTTTCCTTTACATGTGCGTACCAGTCCTATGGCACATGCGTATTATGCCAGAACTATCAAAGAAGACTTTTGTTCGTTGCACGTACTCTGCACAGACCATATATCCCAAAGACACCGGAACCCTCGACTGGGTGCATGGCAGTTCCACCTGCCTCTGGCATCGCTGCTCCTTCTTTATCTGTCTGCCTCCCTCCTCCTGTACAGAACTCCATTAGCAATCATTCTCCCACCAACGTGTTAAAGCAATGAAACATTAAAAAAAATGCACAAATTAACCATCCTGATAGCAAATTAATTAATGCAAATAAATGCAAATTCAATGCAATACTCCAGCATGGCATGCTAATGAGAAAACAAGTCATTTAGTCAATCAAGGAAATATGCAAATAAAAAACATCCTTTTTTAAGATGCTTTGATGCAGAAGTCTAAAAGAAATGAAATACTTCAGCTTCATTTTGGGGGCATAAATTACTATTTCTGTAGTTTCCAATAAATATATCCTACCCTGTGTTATTATTCCATACAAACATGGCAACTGGAATATGACAAAATGCATTTTCTGCTTAGAAATGTTGCAGATGAGTATTTTTCACACCAATGTAAAGTTTGAAACTTACTGCAGAAAAAATAAAACCAAAGTATGATATCAGGATACTGTGTTGAGGGTCATCTTGCAATTTTAACCTTGTCTAATGCCAAATGGTGCAACCAAACAGTTTGTACTTCTCAAAAAATAATGCTTCAGCCTTCTAAGACCTACTATAATAAAAAAGTCTGCATTTTTCAGGGTGTACACCTGAGAACTGATATTCTGGACCAAGCATCAGACGATAAATTGCTTCAGAAGTTCCACTGTCTTCATGCAAATCATTGCACAGATGTCTTTATGGATTATAAGCACATATTATTTAACATACCACATACCAAGAAGGGTCAGAGCCCTGTGAAAAGTACTGGTCATCACCTATAGCAAAAAATAGGATCAAATGACATAATCAAAGTTTCAGAATTAATTGTTGAAATACCAGAACTGAAGCAAGACACTAGTAGAAGGTATCGTTCAAAACATGCATTTAAAATCATCTTATTTCATGTACCTGAAATGAGACAATGTGATAGAGTCTTCCACAGTCTGATGGACATTTTGTCAGCTGAAATAAATATTACATTTTTGCTGCACAAATGGACAAGTATCCAAATGTTATTATTAATGTTATTTAATTATTGGCCACCTATAAGTACGCTTTATCTACATCAGCAAGTTTCTTTCTTTCCCTTGGTACCTTCTTCTCCCCAACACAACGCCTGTTAGTAAAGTGGGAGGGTTGGATTTTTAGGTGGAATAAGTATTGAGGATCCAGCATCGTTACACATTTTCCAAGGTCAAAAGAGAAGGATAATGGAAAAAATATAGTCAAGCATTTTAAAGCTGGCATAATTCTATAAAAAGGACTGTGAATTCATGGAGAGAAGGAGATGAACATGCTGTTCACCTGTAGCACTGCAGTATAATTTTCATATCAAGTGTTAATGACAGGTAACCTCCCTAGAGATTTATTCATTCATTTTCTTCCAGGTACAGCATATTAGCTGAAGACTTTTCTGCACAGCCACATTGCCATGATGTGAATTACAATTAACGCTAAGCAGCCAGGGGTTGTTTGTTAGATTATTAGAACCAGTGAAGCTGAATGACTCATTCTACGCTATTTACAGAAAGAAGGCAAGCAATTCATCACAGAACAGATGTTAATGATAGGCTACCTGAATCCCTATAGAGGAACGTCGACTCTTAAGAAACTCCTCTGCTTTTGACACTAAAATGGCCTTGTCACTGGTTCGTATTGAGGTGCTCTGGCTCTCAGAAGCATGGCGCTGTGCAGCCGCAGTTTCCAAGGCGAGATTCATGGCCTTGTTACTGTCCAAACTGTCTGTGGAGTTGTACATCCCTCGCCCATCTTGAGGCCACGGGGAAATCCTCTGAGTCCGGCTATCGTGATATGCATCCTGGGTGGATTCTGTGCTGCTCTGTGCTGTGACTGAGATTAGTGGCTTGGAAGTGGTACGAGGGGGTACCGGAGGCGGTGTTTTTTTGTAACTTGTGTAAGTTACAGCTACGGAAAGAATGGAAATACAAGAAAGAAAAAGAGAAATCAAGGTTAATTCGATCGAGACATCACAAGAGAAACCACTGTCACTCTGAGATTAGGCTAGTTAAAAATGAAGGCAATGCAACATAGTGCTCTCTGGGAACCTCACTATTAGTTCAAAACGTCTCTCACACTCAGATGGGTATCCATAGCAACATTTTCTTTCAACCAGGAAGCAAGAGTTGCAAATGTTCTGTGTGCTAAAATGGGAGTCCCAGATTATGATGAAGATGAAAGGGAATTAGCAAGGATTTGTGCATGTATGTCTCAGCCTGGAGAGTTATGCTGGATTTGTTCACACTGATGCTTCTCAAGTTGTTTCAGCATAGGATAAAGCTGATAATGGACATAAAGGATGATTTTTTTTTTCTCCTCTTGTGATCATTTGAACTGTGGACTCTGTATTGATACAGTGCATTAACAAAGTAACATCAATATACTGGAACAAATCATTCTTCAGAAAACTTCTACTTAAAAGTATGTCACACTTTAACCTTTAAAAATGCTTCCAGGTTTACTGCTGTAATTAGATAAGCCTGGCTACTTACTCAAGCTGTATAAATATGTTTTTAAAATATCCATGACATGCTAAATATCCAGACATGCAGATATTTATAATATGTAAAAAGCAACTAAATACTTGGATAACACACACAAGCTACAAATAATACCAAATATAGTCACATATTATCTATTATTCTTCAGCAAGTTTTAAATCCTTAGAACACATATTAAAGGGTGATATACTGAAATACCACGAATTATTAAAAATATAGACATAAAAACGGGTCTGACACACTGAAAGAACTACATACACGAGTGGAACTGAGAATTTTAGTGTGACGAGCATAGCAGGTTTGAGGTCGGTTCGACTTGGATTCTGTCTTGCAGCAAAAAAAGCAATAAAGCCTCCAAGGAAGCTCTACAGAATGCAGAATTCTGACAATACTGCTTCCTTAAAAAATTTTAGGAAACAGAATCCTTCTTCCACAGAGACTGAAAACTATTTATTATCACATGGCTCAATTATCAAATAGTCTAAGTCCACTATACTGTTTTGTTAACAATATAAGCATTTCTGTTACAGGAAGGTTTTTTCCTCAAAGTAGATGTAATCATATAGTTCATAAAATTAGAGATTGGTGCAAAAGTGCTTCATAATATAGCTTTCCATATTCCTGTACAGGAAAATCAAGACCAGCTCATTTCTCATATAACTGCAGCAACATAAAGGAAATTGTTATATTTCCCTATACCACAAATGCCAAAATAGCAAAATATATACATGCAGAGGCCAAGCTAGTGAACCTTTTTAAATAAAAAGACCTTTTTAAGGTCTTGTTAAATGCACTGGACACCATAATGGTGACTCAGGTAAGCTTGGAATTCGGGTTACTTGAGTACAACAAATTCTACAAGTATTCCCCTTCTCATTATACAGACATCAGCTGATGAGCAATGAAATCAGCAGTGCCTTTCCAGTCGTTCTTTTTAATACAAGGCTATGTTGCAGCTCTCTGGAGAAAGCTCTGTAGAGAGAAAAGGCAGTTTTAGGAATCTGCCAACAACTAGAACTTCTGAGCATGAGTCACCAGATTAGCATATAAGGGAACTGAGTCTAGAGGAAACTATCCTTACATTTTGATTTTTGATAATCATAAATAAAATTGTGATCATAAATAAAGGAGGGTGAGGCAGAGCTAGGGGGTGAAAACCGTCATGTGAAGCACATTTTGAATTACTACGGATGCAGCTCAAATTCTGGCAGAGACTTTAAGAGTCTTGCCTCTGAACTAAATTGCTCTAACAGAGTGAAACACATGAAAACATGCTCTTCAGATTCTGAGACTGTGTGCATTTTTTAAAGTGCAGTTTTGTTGTCCTATCACCAATCTTATCTCCTGTCAGTTTTGTAACCAGCAGTTAAGAAGAAAGAAAAAGCCAGTATATTTCAGATGCTTCAGGGAATACAGAGAGCTCATGAAAGAAGGGAAGCTGTAATGCTTGGAAATTATGATAGTGTCTCACGAGCTGAAGTAAAGGCTCAAATTAATGCTTCCACTGCGGGAACTGCCATAAAACTGTTGCCGCCCATTTCCCCCGGCCAACCCCAGCAAATGTAGAAGCAAGCGATCAAAGTGCTGGGAAACATTTGAAACAGAGACAATGGGATGAAATAGTGTGAGTGAAATCCAGATAAGGAAGCTATTTTTATCTATAACACAAGACAGGCTATCACTGTTTTGACTAATTTATTATTTTTCACCAACTGCCTTCATCCAAAAGAACAGCAGTGAATAATGAAACATATGGTAAATGTGATAATGAAACATCATAAGCAAGTATATCCCTACTACTCAGGTAGAAGATCGCCCCTCTGCCTAATAAATATAAATATTATATATGGCAATCCGTCATAGCTAACTTAATTTTCATTTAAATTTCCAAAACAAAACCAAAACCAAAAAAAACCTCCTTGTGGCAGAACCGAAACGGTTACTTGATTATTTTATTTTTTTAGGACTGAATATTTTCTTCTGGAAATCCCAGATTGTTTTGGTGAGATGATGTGTCTTAGAGCCATGAAGTCTTACTATTACTGTAGTATTCTGGCCAGCATTTGCTCACGAGCAATAAATAGGAATTAAAAAAACCCATAGATATTCAACAAGGAGAAGAAGCCAGGAGAAAGTTTTAAAGTTCATGGGCAACAGGATACATATTTACAGCGAAACATGGCAGAAAGAAATTCGATTAATTTCTAAGCTACAGTCACAGAGATCAAATATTGAGCAAGGAAATAAAAATCCATCTCTAAGCCGTTACTGAGTTCATATCTGGAACAACAGTTTCAGAGCCACAGAAATCTGGGACTAATTGGAAAACGTAACAAAATCAGGTAAGAGGATGGAAGCGTGAATTTGTGAAGTGAATTTTAAGACTAAATTCTATTTGCTTTAATCATTCAAGTGGTTCCAGTGAAGCTAATGGGATAAGTCATATGAATAATGCTACCAAGGCCTGACTCAAGATGAATTTGATATGATCACTAAATAATAGATTAGGGACACGTTAAAGGAGAAAAGCTACCCTATAATCCATAGTTTACTGTTCATGTTTGGTCTTGGGTCTCTAATAACTAAGCATTGCTTTAAGGTCTGGAGTAGGAAATTTACCGTCACTTTCAAAATTTGTGCATTAATTATTATATCTGTGGATATTCCTGTTATCAGAAGTAATGTATTTCTGTACCTTGCCCAATTCTTGGCCTTGGCAGTAGTATCACATTTTATACAAAGGAAGAAACCTTTCCTTCTCCTGACTGAAGATGTACTTCCTTTTCATTTATCATCCCTTTCTTCTTATGCTGATAGACAGGAGCTTTTGCCACCTTTGCATCATTCACAGCTTTGCAAACTTTAATTGGCCTTATTCACTATTAGTCTAAATCACAAGTATAAAAAGTCTCCTCAGTTTTGCTTAATGTCTTCCCTCTGTTTTTTGCTCTATCATCCTATGAAGTCACGAGCTGCGTCAGGTTTTGCCTGCAGTGCAACAGCTCCCTTCCCTGCAGGGAGGGCTACGGCTGGGCAGTGCAGCCCCAGAGCATCTAGTGCTGACCCACCGGCAACACCCGAGGAAGTCCATGAGGGAGCTCAGGCAGGAAGCCAAACTGGTAAGAAGAAACCTCAGATAAAGGATCCTTGTTGTCAAGCATAGAGGGGTGAGTCAAGTGTCGGGTCCAGCACAATCTCTGGGGTAGAAATACAGTGTGAGACTGGGGGCGTACAAGAGCAGAGCACCTCGAGAGTTGAGCTGCCATGCTACAACTTTAGGCTGATTTAAATTGTGGACTTCAGCCTAAGTAGAGGAGTGTCTCACATTTTGACACGTAAGACATCAATCCTGCATAATCTTCAGTTGTTTCTGTGGCTCAAAAAACATGACCTGAGATGACCTTCTTTACATTCTTGAGTAATTTTGGTGTACATATGCTGCCCATTTCTAATATTTCTCTAGCCAATCCTGCTGAGGCCAAAGCAAAGTAAAAGCGACACCCTTCTGCTACAGCAATAATCAACTTGTAAAATTTGCAGCTGCTCTGAAATGCAAAGAGAAAATGAAGTAGATGGCACAAGAGGTAAAGAAATGTATCTTCTTAGTATTTAAACTCAATACAGAAGAAATTAGGAAAAAAAATACTTTCCTGGTGTATGCAAAGGCTATCTCAATACAGAAATCTCTGTTTAGTTTTTGCCTTTTTTAATACAGCATGAAAAATCCTTATTTGGAGATCATAATATACAATCTGTCTCTGTATGTTAGCTAACGATCATCAACAAAAATGATAAATATGGTCAAAAAACCTTCTTATGATACTGAACTATATGGGTATTTCAGCCTACCATTCTAATCATAGTATTGACTGATCAGGTATTTGTTCCTATTTGTCCTTTAAGGAAGGACATTGTTAGATAAATGGAGAGCCCACCAAGTGGTTCTATACTGCTTCACAGTGGACTAGGTTAAATGATTAAAACCAGGTAAAAATTATTCAGAAGAAAGGAGCAGGTAGCACAGAAGCATAACATGCATCAATTTGGCACTCAGGCAGGAAAAAAAGTGTATCGCTTATCCACTTGTTTTTGCAAGGACTATTGTTATGGAAAGAGTGCGCTTCCCACTTATACCAGCTCCAGTTACCTTCTCCTAGCGTATGAGCTACAATGGATACCTTAATTGCCAAATGACCACTTCCCCCTTCAAATATACAAGATTCCCTATCAATTCTGACTGTAGCACCAAAATGGCCCTACATAATGTGTTCTGTAAACCACATTCCTGTCTCTTCTGTGCTTTGTGATACCAGCTGGGAAGCACTATTCAGAACAAGAGTACCAGGCATTGTGGCAATACTACAGAGTGACCAAGAAGACTATTCCAGCCCAAGAGAACTCATAATT